GACTAGGTGCGTTCTACATGGTCTCCCTGAAAACAAGACCAAGTTGCGACAACGAGGTCAACCCACTTCCTATGCCCTGTTTTCTTGTGTGTCAACCCATAAATGTTGTGGTCTACTTGTTTTGATTAGATTCAATGTCGCACTTCACTTGTCTCTTCGACTAGTTGTGGTGTGGCGCTAAGAATGGCAATGCGGACTGGCGATGCCCATTACGATGCCGGCAAAACGTTCACAGTCCAACTCTGGAAATTATCATGCATATTATGAACTCAGGACTATATGTATTCTTCTAGGTCTTCCTACCAATATGGCCAAGTTTGGAAAACAAGGACAAACAATTTCTTGCCTTTGGAATGTCTACGCTTTTCTGATGAAAGAAAAATCAGACTTCGTCACCATGATTAGTGGAATTTGAAAAACCCAATAGATCCAAGGCAGTCCTGCACCTCCATAGGCTGGATGATATGGGGGAGAGCCAAAAGCGGCGAAGGCTGCTAAATCTGGCTATCACTTGGACTTGGTTAAAACAACAGCATTCACACATTTGCACCCAAGCGCGCAATATTTCTTCATCCACACATTTGTATACAGGCGCCGCAGGATGCCAATGCCCATAACCAAATGTAAACAAAAAGGCACTATTTCAACTTTAGCCGACGGGGTTAAGGCTGCATTTGCGCAATCGCAAGGGGATTATCACGGGTCAGTGGCCATGACCGGCAACTCTAACATAACCATCATTTTCCAAATAAGCCTAAAGAGTAAATAACATATCATAACAGGAGTTTATCTTACCAGATGCGACATGTCTTATCAAGAAAAGACCGAAACCCGAGCAGATTACGGTTTGATCAGGCCGAACAGTCTTCTAGCGCATAGAAGTAGGCCTAGGAATTGCTTCATTATCTGGAGATTTCTATCATGCTTCAATGCGATAGGGGAGCGCCATATGCACGACTATGAATTCACTCAGCAGCCTAATGATAATCGTAGGTGGCATTGTGCTGCTTCGGCCTTCCCACACGTAATAAAGGAAAACAAAATCTAACATGATAAGGAAACAATCGAATCTAACGAGCCTTTACTATGAAACTACAAATTTACCAAGAAAACTGCGGATAATGGTGACAGAAGGGCCTGACAATCGACATTTCTGCGAAAAATGTAACGCGAAAGGTAACGCACCCCGCCAGTGGAGGGCGCTTGTGCTTATTTCCCAAAAGGTTTAAACCTTCACAGCATAATTAAGTTTACCAGTTGTTTGGGCTACACTAGAACTCATCAAATGAAACAATTTAGTTGTGGCCATCGGGTGAAAAATTTCCCAAATATGCATCAGAATAAAGGGGCTAAATAGTTTACATCAAGATTTTTGTTTTGCCTTAATATAACTTCGATTTTGTGACTTGTGTTTCCAGATAAGGCCCCCCCAAAAAAGCCTGTATTACGCTCTCTACCGTTGCTGCTATGGTCTATTCTAGTATCGGACCGTCGACGTGGTAGACGCCCAGAAGTGTCATTCTGAGAAGATGTACCTCAGGGCAGCGCAACATGCTGACGATGTCCCGTGTTAAAAGCGAAAATTAGATCAAACTGGCTGAGGCCAAAGGTACAGCTCCATACTTGCTGCCTCATACATCCAAATAAAAACAACATTACCCAGAGACTCAATCTAGTTATGGACGTGTAAAGCTAAAACCCAGGATGCTTATAACTCAAATTAAGCCACCTTGGCTCGGGGCCAGCTGAGAGCCTTCTATCATCTATCAGTCCATGGACTGGCAATCGACCAATCATGGAACATCATCTTCAAGAGACAAATGCGATACATTGACCCTATTTCGTTTAAGGCGATGAAGGATTGGTAGTTGCCCCTGAAAGCAATCTTATAAGCGAAAAATAAATCTTACTGAAGCATAGGTTATCAGAACCGTTGAACAAAACATTGGTAACTGGTAACTTTGTTACCTGTTGTAACTCTGTCCTTACGATGGCGAAATGTTTGGAAATGTACCAAGTCAATGTCTGATACCGGACGCCACGAATACTATAGCAGAGGACACAGGTCTAAGTACGTTCCGCAAGGTCTCCCTTAAGCTCTGATCAATTTGTGAAAACGAGGTCAAACCGACACTGTAAAGCTAAGGGAGGCCACACCATCTTCGTCTTCATATATACGATCTAGATTAACTAAACTCCAATGCAGGATGATGTAAAAAGGATTAAAGTCTTCCCAAGTTGTCTGTTGGAAAAATAAGAAAATATTTTGGCTTATTTGGTGCGATATGATATATATATAAAGTCGGTTATGCAAATTTACGAATTAATTTTGTCCGCCTTATTCAATGAAATAAAAGGTATAACAAAATGCATTTATTAAGCCAAGCCTGGTCTAGTGACAAAATATGTAAGGTATTCATCGAAACCGAAATTTTTCAATCAACCACCTTTGTCTGGAAGCAAATTGAGTAAAAGCTGCATTCGCATTTCTTAATACGAAATGAAAGCCGTACAAACATCGACCAGACGAAGAAAGGTGTTGAAATGATAAAATAAAAGGAAAAAGAAAAAAAACACCGCCTCACCGAGCATGAAGGAGGCCGAAGTCGACATCAATTTGTATCATGGGGGTCAGTGGTGACTTAACCAACTCCCGGACAGAGGCCACCTTCCGCTGTTGTGCAGTTGCATGATGCGGACTGAGGCAGGAGATGAAAGGTGTCGCGTGACGCCACAACCTGTCCACTAGCCCGCTGGCGGTTTAGAATGGTCCGTTCAACAGAGCAGGGCGTCGGGGTCTCGACTGATGCAGCTCGGTGTAGCCACGAGTCGCGGGCACAAATGGTCTGCTGCTTTTTCTCAGTCTCAGCTTCCTCATCTCTCTCCTCGTCTTCGCCCAAACTCGTCATCATTGTTGTCGTCGTCATCCTTTTCACTCCGTTCCGGCCAGTCTCCTCGTAGTCCTTTCTGTCGACACTGTGCGGTCGAGAGAGCGCCGAAAGACCTCGTCGCCGAGTGTTGTCCATCGAGGAGGGTAGGTCACATTTGAAAGTCATCAGTCGTCTTTGGTGGAGTTCAGGACTGGTTGATTCGTTTCTCGCTTCACCACCAGTCATCCGTCGCCAGACTACTTCGTCAACTTGCCCGTCGTTGAGACTAGCTCCAGTCTTGCCTCGGTCGGTACCGTAACGAGTGGGCGCCAGTCTGTGGACGGGTTGACTTCGTCTCTGGCCACTCGAGGCTGTATTGAGGAGTTCCGGAGTTGATGAAGCCCACAGGTCGCTGATTGCTGTCGATTTGCCCGAGTCATCCGGACTCGAAGGTCCATTATTCGTGGCGATTGTACAGGCGTCACTTGACACGTCGAGGTGGGTTGGACTAGACGAGCTGTTGTAGTTGAAAAGAGTGGGCGTCAAGCCGAGTGTAGCCAGACTAGAAAGTCCAGTGAGCGGTGAGGGAAGAGGAGGAGAACAGGAGAATGACGGTGAAGTGATCAGACTGGCCGAAGTGGTGTCCATGATTGTGCTGGTGCCTGTGCCTGTGCTTGTGCTGATGCCGATCTGGTAGTTGGGGATCGGCGGTTGAAGAAGCGGATTCAGGCAGATCGGGCCAGCCATCGGCTCCTGGGCCAAATAGGCGTCTCGATTCGCCTCAATCTCGGTGTCAGTTTCAGCTTCTGCCTCGACTTCGGTTTCGTCTTCGTTTTCGTCCTCGTCTTCGGCTGCGGCTGCGGCTTCGGTCTCGACGAGTCGGCCAAACGTGTCCATCCTCGATGGGGAGCCAGTCTCGATGGGCAGCAAAGCTTGTCCCTCTTGCCCGACTGTCGGGAGCATGCTCATCATCAGCATGGCGGCTGTGGCCGCGGCCATTGGGCCAATAAAGTCTCCCGCTGGCGTTGGCAGAGCAGCCAAAGTCGAGGCTGTCTGGACTGGATCACGAACGGCAGGACATGACTTTTTGTGATAATAATAAGAGGCACCCCAGCGATAGCGTTTTGCACATCCGGGACACTGGTACTTGCCCTCAGCGCTGTGCTTTCCCTCCATGTGTTGCTTCAGAGATAGGCGTGAGCTGAACTCTTTGCCGCACTGATCGCAAATGTTGCTGCCAATCGCAGATCCAATGCCTCCGCTACACCCAAAACCACCGGTTGTCGAAAGACCCACCGTCGACAGGTCGACCTGACCAAATGGAAGGCCGGCCTCTTCACCGGGCTCCAATTCACCATCCATCTCTGCTTCCGGATCCAGCTCAACATCGGCATCAGCATCAGCATCAGTCTCGGCTTCTGCTTCGGTGTCAACCTCTTCGTCGTTGGGCCGACTACAGCGAAGGCGAATCGCGGCGTGCAACAGTCTCGAAGGGTTCACCTCGTAGGCGACAGTCGGTGTCGACGGATATGGCGCTTCTGCCGACAGTCGTTGCCCTCTCGACAGATTAACGTCAGCCGAAGACGTCAACGAAGGTGGGCTCAGGCTGTCGGGATAGCCGGAATGGAGATGGTTGGATTGCACGTCTGAAGGGTAGCCGGCAGCGGCAGGTACCAAAGACGGAGAAGACGAATAGGCCGCCAACATTTCAGCCATAGTGGCGGCGGCCGCTTTAAAAAATGGTCCTGTCGACTGGCCAATGGTGCTCGAGGAAAGAGAGGACATGAAGAACTGCTGCGCCTCATCGGCACCCGAAAAAGTGTAACAGGCCTCCTGAAGTCGGCGACGAAGCGATTGCTGCTGCTCCTCGTGTTGCTGCAACCGGTGCAGACTGTATGCTCTCCTGGCATCGTCTGATTCTACGAAAGCATTGTTCTCATGTTCATTTTCTTTATCCTCCGCATCCGCATCCCCATTCGCCCCATCCTCCTCCTCCTCTTCCTCTTCCTCCTCTTTCACTTCCTCCTGTTCCTCCTGTTCCTCCTCCTCTTCCTCATGCCTCTCATTTTGCCTATTCATTCCATTTTCCTCTTCCCAATCCTTTTCTGTTTCATCCGTATCCTGTTGCTTGGCCAATTTTGCTGCATACTCAGCTCGTTCTTCATATCCCTTCAGCGAATCCGACTGCCTGGCGGTGTCGCATTCATTCATGAGATCCGTCTTAAGTTTGGCCTTTATTCTCGCCAAATTTGTTTCATCCTTCCTAGCCTTTAGCTTTTTAAGTGTCTTCCTTTTGTCTGGAGACTCCTTTTCATGCCCTTCAGTACACTTGGGGGCCAAATCACATTGCCCATCGGCAACACTTTGATCCTCCTTCGTGGTCAGCCTCGGAAATGTCAGTTTGCTCGAAGCATAGATGAGGCTCTGCTCACCGGTAGACGGGTTGTTAGGGCTGTTGCTGTACGACATATGGTCACGAGGCATCATGTCAAGCGATTTCTTGATTTCTTCTGCCTTGAGCCTTTCTTGACCTGCCAGGCCTGCCTCGTAGTTGTTTTGACATTGTTCTGGTTTGTGTTTTGATCCGTGTCGACGAGGCATCTGTGTAAGGCACTCCTTCTGACTGGTAACCAGGAGAGGAGTGAATTTGGCCTTAGTCTTGACATCCTCTTCACAAGAAGCTACTTCAGTCTCTTGAGCGCTTTGTTTCTGAACAGACGTCTCAGGCCCGTTTGGATCACCGGTATGGAATGTTACCTTTTGATACTGTATTGGCTTTGCTTCCTCCATTTCCATTTCCGTATCGGACTCATCAGGCTTTTGAAGCTCATCCTCATCTTCCCGAAACTGACCGGAGGTCATTTTAAACCAATCACTAAAGCCTCCAGAAGCGGCCGCGATAAAGTCTGAGGCGTCTCCTCTGCCCAAGAGTGAAATTAATGCCTCCAAGCTTGAATGTTGGCAGGGTTGCTGAAAAAGAGCATTCATAGTGGCGATCATTGCCGTCAAGGCCTCCCCGCCGAAGCCATGCGGTGGAATCGGCAGGGGTGGAAAGGACATAAAAGGCGGCAGTAAAGGATGACCCGTCGGCATGGTCAAATCTTTAGACTCTCCCGAGGCTGGTGTTACCGCCGAAGGGGCTAAAGTTGTGCGAGTTTCATCTTCGCCTGGTGAGCCGAGAGCCAAAGTCGACTGCGAGTGATTCGATCTGACCGACTTAACCGGCATCAGGCAAGCCGAATCTGGACTAGTTGGGCAGAGTCCTCGAGGACCCGAGGGTCCTGTAACCGAAGAACATGACGCAGGTCGCAGCAAATGCCCTCCCGACGAAACCGCCAGTGGAAAGGGCGATGAACTAAGTTGAGGCAGCTCCAAAGGACCCTGTGACCCTGGGGTGGTGGACGGAAAATTGGCCAAAGAAGCGCCGCCAGATGGGCTGGAAAGGGAAGATGAAGAGGATGAGGATGAAGAAACGGATGTCGAAGTTGATATAGAAACAGTGGACACGAGATGGTCCGAAAGGCTGGTGCTCGAGAAACCATTGGACTTCAGCAACGTCGATGCATCACTGGCAGATGTAGAATAGACGGCGGGGACATTGAGGTGTGCCGTAGAGTCGGCCTGAAGTTGTAATTGAGTCAAACTCATACCGGCCGGAGACTGGGGAGCATTGACAACTGGTGAGTGCGCAAGTGACCCTTGAACCGAGTGTGGTTGCGGCTGAGGTGGCGGCGGCGGCGGAAGGATTGATGCTGGGAGGGGAGGTAGACCGGGGAGATGAAGGCCGTAATTGAGGTGGGGAGGCTGTATGGTAAGACATGCAAGTTGAGCAAGCATTGGGCAGGCGGCAATGTGCACCAGATACGTTGTGGGCTCGTCGAATCTGGCCCCGCATGGACAAGCGATTAGGCCGACGGGCTCGAGGCCAATCGAGCCACGATCTGGAGACTGGCAGATGAGTCCACCCAATTGACCATCCGAACTGGCCGGCCTGGCAGTAGTCGTGAGGCTGGCGGGTTTGAAGGGTGCCAAAAAGTCGCTGGCTGGACTACCAGGTCTCGGTGACAAAGTCGAGGCGGGACAAGTGGTTACAAGGTCGCTAGTGCTAACGGAGTCTGCTACACCGCCAGTTGGTCCGGTTGGTCTGTTTGATCCATTTGGTGCATTTGGTCCGACTCGTCCAGTTGTTCCGGTTGGCGTAGGGCAAGCTGACAAGGTCAAAGCAGTCGTCGAGGGTAGAAAATTGTCACATTTTAGCCCAATTCCGTCAGCCTCAGATTGTGCAAAAGACAGACTGGGCATGAAGAGAAGGCCACCATCGGTCAAACGGTTTATTGTCGTCTTGTTCGAGTCAGTGGTTGTGCTGTTGATCGTTGAGGTGGTCGAGCCTACCGCCTCAGTTGGCATCATTCGCAACGACGACATTGTGCAGTTGTTGCCAGTCGGTGAGTTGCCCGGAGAGGGAGGGAGCGAAGTGGTTGGTATGGGTGAGGCGGGTGGTGCAAGTGAGGCCGGAGCGAGCCCAAGCGGAGGCAATGGCTGGAGAGGAGGAAAGCCGGACAGATGCGGCGGTCCAACCGGTCCGGGAAAAGGGAATCGGAGACCCATGGCCATGGCCATCGCCGCCAAGCCGAAGGGGTCGCCAGGCAGACCAGGCAGACCGGGCAGACCGGGCAGACCGGGCATAGGCGACGAGACGATAGAGTTGTTGACTCCGGACGACCCGAAGGGGGGAGGAAGCGCAGAGGCGTTGGGCGTCGAGAGGAGGGCGTTGAAACCGGTGGAGACCGATTGTCCATCGGCAATCGGAGAGTTCGTTTTGCCACCTGCGGTTGCCATCGGAGACGTGAGTGGACAGAGATTGCCGGTGTTGCCGACGCCTAGGCCTGGGCCGACATGAGGCGAGACGGTCTGACCGGCACAGCCAACCATGCCGAATGGGGTCGTCGGCAGAGATACAGCACCGTGTGGACCAGCAGCCAAACTGGGCCTCGCAATGCCCAACAGAGTCGGTGGTGGCAGCATGAGTGGCATCGTCACTGGTCCATTGCCTCCACCCGGAGACTTCTGACCGCCTCCGAGGGAGCTGGAAGTGGAGCCTGGCGTGACACCAACTGCAGCGGCCGCGGCCGCAGTAGCAGCGGCAGCAGCAGCAGCCGCGGCTGACAACAAACTCGGAGGCAGGTCGATGCCAACGGGGGGCCAGAAGAAACCGGCCGACCCCAAAGGCGCCTGACTGGACATCGGAGATCCGCCAGAGGGTGGTGAAAGACTCAACGAATGATGCGATGAGACGCCGAGCGAATGTGAGGACAAAACGAGTGGATGCCCCGGAA